TTTTTCAAATAGAGTGTTGCTTTGTACTGCTCATCTCAGTTCTTCAACAAAACTCATATAAAAATGCATCAGATAGATTTAAGTATGAACCAGATCACTTTTAGTTTGGTTTTGGCTTCCCTAACAGATCTTCTGTTCTCAGCAGTCAAAGGAGGCAGCTGGGGATTTTTGTAATATTAATGCTGATGGAAGAAGCTGTTACTGGAATAGAAGGTTTTTTGTGATCTGTCCAGATTGCTGTCGCTAAGCTGTAGGTAGGAAATGGGCGCTGTCTTGTACTCTACAATGTTGCTCCTTAGCAAGCTGCCCAGTGCACAAAGTCTCCATCATGCTGGCACTTTGGTCAATTACTGCAGCATCAGCAAAGCAGATAAGAAATGAGATTTGCCTTGAGACATGGGCTGTGGGTGTTTACTTAAAAAAAAAAAAAAAAGCCACAAAAAACCTCCCCAAAACAAACAAGAACCCCAAAACCCCCACTAGCAACAACATTACAAATGCAACCCCACCACCACCATCGTGATGAGGGTTGTAGTACAGTGTTTTGCGATAAATCCAATTTACTTAATGTGAAATTGCCAAACTGGCATCCTTTTATCAATTCCTGTCTTCAGGTGTAGTAATTTGTCATGGTTTAACCTCAGTTGGCGACTGAGCACCACACAGCCGCTCACTCACTCCCCCTGCCCTGGTGGGATGGGGGAGAGAATTGGAAGAGTAGGAGTGAGAAAACTCGTGGGTTGAGATAAAAACAGTTTAATAATTGAAATTAGAAAAAAAAAAACATACAAAACAAGTGATGCACAATGTAATTGCTCACCACCCGCCGACCGATGCCCAGCCAGTCCCTGAGCAGCGGCCCCCCCGGCCAGCTTTCCCCCAGTTTATGTACTGAGCATGACGTCACATGGTATGGAATGTCCCTTTGGCCAGTTTGGGTCAGCTGCCCTGGCTGTGCCCCCTCCCAGCTTCTTGTGCACCTCCAGCCTTCTCAGTCAGCAGAGCATGGGAAGCTGGAAAGTCCTTGACTAGTGTAAGCACTGCTCAGCAACAACTAAAACATTGGTGCGTTATCAACATTACTTTCATACTAAATCCAAAACACAGCACTGTACCAGCTACTAGGAAGGAAATTAACTCTATCCCTGCCGAAACCAGGACATAATTAAAGCTAATATACATTAATTGCAAAATTGAGTATTCTATTTCAACTTATGGAAATAGCCTTTCTGAAGCCTGATTGTTTTCTGTTTGCTTTTAGTTCAGGAACCTCAATCTAATGCTGTGAATAAGTGTTTAATACAACCTGACTTTGTCTAGTTTATAAAAAGGATGCTTTTTTAACAAAGCAGTTTTTATCCCTTTTTTACTTGGTAGCCCTTAGTATTGGTTTGATATTCTTAATGAGTTATATTCTTAACAAATTGATAAAAAAACACATGTAGATAGCTTTTGATTACAGGAGAGGAATGCTTTCATGCAAAATTGGGGGGGGTGTTCATGTCTTATAAAACTCTTACTTGTATTGATGTTGAATGTCACTTGTTACTTAACTTTTCTCAGAAATATTAAATTTATCATCAATATTGGATAGCCTTTTTAAAAGGAGACTGAAAATTATACTGGAAGTATTTACATGTGGGACTGATAGCATTTACTGTGCTTTGCGGTGGAACCATGTCATCTTGCCAGGCCGATACTTTTTTTTGATGAAAAGTTCTACCAAGTTTAACAGTAAATGGAGATTTTTCTGTGTAGGATTCCTGTCTCCTGCTGCAGGGGATTGCAAGGCTTCAAGTGGAAAACAGGAAGATTAAGGAGGATCTTGTAGTTACAGAATTTGAATGCTTACCCAAAAGACTTAGTGATTTGAAGGATTTTGTTAAGTGATTGAAAATAAAGTCTTTGCAAATGGTGTCTCCTTGTGTTCAGAACAGTCTCAGGTCAAGCATCCAGATGACTTACAGAGGTGCTGAATCTCCCAGCTTAGTAGCTGGGGGCTGCGAACAGATGACCTGGGTAGCACTACATATCCTGGAAAATCAGGCTCCGGCTGAGCTCTTGACAATCTTGGTGTGTGTTAGCTATTACTAGGGGGGAGCTTCTCACCCCGTTGTCTCGGAAGTGCTGGGATCATAGGTAAAATACCATGTCATTTGTTCCAGTGAGAAGTGCTATAGAGGACAGGGTAGATAAGCACTGATGTGTATGCTGAACTGCATGGAATAGTACAAAACATGGGACAGCTGCTTCTCCAGTATTTTTGTGTGTACTGAAAGGGAAGTGAAGAAAAATAGTATATAATGATCTGTTTTTAGTGGAAGCTGCTGTGGTAGTTGAAAGAGGAAGATAAAGTTTTTGAACTCTGTGTGGCCAGCCAGTACTTTCTAACAGTTCAGCTTTTTAGCTTAAGTGATGGCACTGACCACAAGTATTTTTTTGTCTTTGAGGTATAGAAGAAAACTACCTTAAAATTAGAACAGCAAACTTCATAGCTGGCTGAGAACAGGACATTAAATAAAGTAGATCTGGCCTGAGCGTATGCAAAGATGAATATGCAGATGGTACATGAGGTCAAATGAAAGAAGAGTAGGGATTTTTCTCTGAGTAGTCCATTGTTTGGCTTTTTATTTAAATTCAGAAATACTCCCCCTCTTTGGATTTAATGAGAATCCAGGGGTCAAATAAGAAGGGAAAAAAAAAAAGATTACTGATTATTTACCTGCTGCTTTCTTACTAAATTTTGTGTTTAACTTGCTGAGGAGTAAAAGAAAATAAGACTGGTCAAACCAGAAGAGACCAAGGGTCAGTCTAGCTCAGGTGCCTGGTGATGGCTGGAAATAAAATTAAAAGAAGAGCGAGTACAAGGTGTACTTCTCAAGCGTACCTTCCTGACTGCTGTTGCTCTGACTTCAGGACCTCTGAGGCAATGTTTACAGCTGGGCTTACAGCCATTACAAATCTTTTATTTCATTAGATTTTTCTGGTCTTCCAATAATCATTTATACTCCTGGCAATTGAAAGCATCTTTGACAATGAGTTCTGTATCTGACTTAAATGTAGTCTTACTTTCTCATTCATTCTGAATTATTTTCTACTCTGACTTCCCTATTTAGAATGGCTTGTTAAATTTTGTGTAGCTTGTACATTGATTTCCCCCTGGGCTAGTATACAGTTTGATAGGCACTACTTTAGAGGAACACACTGTTTTCGTGTTCCTCCTTGTACTGTGCACCTTTCATTATGACAGCTGTGGAAGAAAGAGGGATTGATCCATTTTCTCTAAGTAAAAACTGGCGATGGGTCACAGAATAACCTTCGCTACAACAGAGAGAGGTACACTTACTATATTCCTGGTCTTAAGTATATGGGAAACCTCTCCTTTTTTGATTTCTCTTGTGTGTTTTTTTTGTTTCCTAGGAATAATTACACTTTCACTTTCTGCTGCCATTCATTTCGTTTTCTAGTTGGAGGGGAAAAAAATATCAAAATTCGTGTTGTCTTCTGTCTGCAGAGATCTGAATACCAGCAATGCAGCTGGCCAGTTTTGTCAGCCTCTCTCCCAAGGAACAGCCAAGTGACAGGGACAGAAACGAATTGTATGCTTTAAAATTCAGCTCTACCTATTATGTAGTTGGAAGGTATAAGAGTGCGAGTATAAAAGCTAGAAACTTAAATTAAAAATAACTGACCTCATCGTATAACAATTTATTCTATACCCTTAAGCTTACCTTACTAGCAGAAAAAAAAGTTTCTCTGCCTGCCTTTGCCAAGCTGAGGGCTCAGATGATTATGCAATCAAGTGTTTCAAGGAGACTTAAATGAGGAGCAAAATCTGCTGGCAAATTTAGACACGCTGTGAAATGCTATGTAAAATTCCGAAGTAGCAAATGGAAATTTTACATTCTTACCAGCTTCTTGTTTGCTGATGACACCCCAAACCCCTACTAGCTGTAGGTGTGCATGTATTAGAGGTAGATTAGTTTTTGCTTTTTTGGGGTGTAGGTAACCTCTGTGTTTAGGCTACTAACTTGCACGTTCTTCATCTGAAAGTAGTTTGCATTTTTGAGATCAAGAACTTGATAGAAAGAAGGCTAAAAATCTGTCTTTTTTTTTTTTCTCTTTCCAGATATGAGAAATGAGTGTTGGACGCAGAAGATTAAAGCTGCTGGGAATTCTGATGATGGTAAACATTTTTATTTATGTGATTGTGGAAGTCTCAAAAAGTGGCAACCAAGAGAAGAATGCAAAAGGCCATGTTATTATACCACGCAGCAAATTCTGGAGAAAATATACTCCTCACAAAGCTTATTGGAACAAACAGCAACAGAAGCTTGAACTGCTGTACAACCCTATTCTGACCTTGCTTTCCAATATGACTGTGGAAGAGAACTTAGTTTCGAACTCGAGTGTTCTCAGTTCCTGTGACCCTGACCCGTGGGTACCTTCAGAGGTTAGTGACTTTGCAAACTTGCCAGACAGATTCAAAGACTTTCTACTTTATTTGAGATGTAGAAATTATTCATTATTAATGGATCAGCCAAACAAGTGCAAACATAAACCTTTTCTGCTGCTGGCTATTAAGTCACTTACACCCCATTTTGACAGAAGGCAAGCAATTAGGGAGTCCTGGGGCAAGGAAATAAAATCGGGGGATGTGACAGTCAAAAGGGTCTTCTTACTTGGACAGACCCCACCAGAGGATAATTTTCCTGATCTTTCAGACATGATAAAATTTGAGAGTGAAACCCACCAAGACATTCTCCTCTGGAACTACAGAGACACTTTCTTTAATTTAACTCTGAAAGAGGTGCTGTTTCTTAAGTGGGTCAGCAGCAGTTGCGCAGATGTCCAGTTTATTTTTAAGGGTGATGATGATGTTTTTGTGAATACCCATCAGATCCTGGATTACTTGAAGAGCTTATCGAAGGATAAAGCCAAAGACTTATTTATAGGCGATGTGATCAAAGATGCTGGACCTCACAGAGAAAAAAAATTGAAGTACTACATCCCAGAAAGCGTTTATGAAGGTTCATATCCTCCATACGCAGGAGGCGGTGGGTTTCTGTACTCTGGTGATCTGGCATTAAGACTGAATAATGCATCTGACCAGGTACTACTTTACCCTATTGATGATGTTTATACTGGAATGTGCCTTCAGAAGCTTGGGCTTGCTCCGGAAAAACACAAAGGCTTCAAAACATTTGATATTGAAGAGAAATACAGAAATAACATATGTTCCTACACAAACTTAATGTTAGTACATAGTAGAAAACCTCAAGAAATGATTAGAATTTGGACACGCTTGCAAGATCCACACTTAAATTGTTAAAGTAATGTGCATAAGTGTCTTAAGTCCAAATAACTTTCCAAGTTTGGGTCTGACTTTCTTGGTGGACCATTGAAGCTCTGTTTAATAGTTTAATTTTCTATGGAAACTTTCTCCTGTACTTCTGAAAATGAGAATAATACTAAAATTTGAGGGGATGGCTTGAAGACTTGGTCCTGACTTTTCCACTGTCCTGGTGGTCATTATGTTTCAATTTTTGTCTTAAATTAATTTTAAAAAGGACTTCAAGGATGTAACTAGCTGTCAGTGACTGGTTAGCTGTATTGGAAACAGGGATTGCCTACTACAATGCATCTTTCATTAATTGTGATGGTGGAAGATAATTTTTCCTTGAGTAGTGTTTGTGTGTGGGTGTGTGGAAACCACTGTAAATTGAAAAGTCACAAATTGGAGGAATGTAGTTTTACTTTAAATATGAAACACTCTTATGGAGACTTTAACTATTGAATTTTTTTAATTTATAGTTTTCAGTCTTTTTGCACCCTGGAACAGTATTTTCTCCTTTACTTATGATCTTTTGTGCAAAGCGTGCCTGTGTGTGAAGGATTTACCGTTATATTAGATGATGCTTTTTTTATAAAAAAAGCATACTGTTTGAAACACCCCATTGAAGAGCTGAATATATAAGGAAAAGGAAGAACAGATTTTGTTTGGGGCTGGGCAGTAGGTACAGTTAGGTCTGCCCCCTGCGCCAAGCTTATGCGAGGTAAAGCTGACTTGTTGCTCATGTTATTTAGGTGAAAAGCTACTCTGGTCAGTCCTTGTTTTCTGTTTTGGCACTAAGTGTGATCAGGTAGCTTGATTTGATGCAAATAATGGAAATTGCACATTGCTTTACGAGAGCATGGTTTGGATCTCCTATAAAGCGGTAGCAAATCTAGAACTGTGCAGATCCTAAGAGTTTTGAATTTTGAAACAAACTTTGAAGTTGCATGATGTCTCATGTAGAGTTAAACCTGTTCTCAAAACTCAGATTTTTCTTCTGTATTTCCACATCTTGCTTATAAGAGTTATTCTAAATAGTGGTTGCTTCCTTTGTATATGTAGAAGTGCCTGTCTATTTATTGTTCAGATTGAAGACCAAAACATTTTCTTAAATATATTTTGTGTAACATTTTATTTGTATAGTGTTGTCACTCAGATATTTAAATAGAGCATGATATTTTAAATCTGTGAGATGTGTAACATGTTAAATAAAGCTGTTATTTTTGAATTTGAAAAATAAAATGTGGTTTAAATATTTCTTGTAATGCTTAATTTGTGGCACAATGTTGACTTACAGAGCAGTTGCACTCTACTGCGTGGCATTCAGTATCAACACGTTTCAGATGTTCAGAAGCAAAAGGCTTTATTCGGCAACTTTCTCTAACGCTTATGTAGTAGACTATCAAGAAAATGTCGCAATTGTACATGGATTTATTAAATTCTGTGCTGGATGGACAACTCTGGCAAAAGGAAGGGAACATTAAGTGCCCCAGTAAAAACAGTACGTACAGAAATAATTACCTGTACAATAACACTGCTTGTACAATTGAAAGGAGTCAAGGAATGGATTAAATGGCTGGCACTTCAGTTTTTGTTTGAAATAACTTGGCAGCTACAACTCCTTTGGCTTCTTCACCTTTCTTGTTCCTTCGTTTACCTTGAAGAACAGATGTGGTGCTTTTTTTTGTTTGGGGAGAGGTGAAGTCTTCTGGTCTTCCACCTTTCTGTTCTGTAGATGTTCACTGTCAACCCCCGGGATAGATAGATTAAAGACAGACTGTGCTCTGGTATTGTGCCATGAGGTTTGGCCCCTGTGCCTTGTCAGTCCTCATGAGAAATTATACCTTTCTGAAGGAGCTGCAGGTTTTACTGTACATGTGTTACTTCCTACTCTGTTCTTCCTAGCCATGCTAAGCACCCTGTTTCTTTCTAAATATTAGTGGGATTTTTGTCAAGTCTGGGCCAAGTGAAAGAAAAGAAGTTACGCTGATGACGGGGAATGCAAATAGAGATGTGATGTTAAGAGTCTTCATGGACTAGAGAGAGAGGAAAAGGAGGGTACTGTGGGTGAGCAGAGCCACGGGGGAGAGGGACACAGGAGAGGCCACTGAGCTCTAAACATGGTGATGAGTTCCAGGGAGGGATCAAACACAAACCAGCAGGTTACAGAAACAAAGGGACAGGAAAAGAGCCCAAGAATTAAATCTTGTGAGTAAGATGGGGTGGAGTGCACATGTGATATTAACCTGTTAGTGAAATGGGTGGGATTGGTGGAGTGCCAGCATTAATTATTTACTTCATACCCTTCCTGTAACCATGAGATTAAAAACAGGGCTTTTGTATAGGACACAACTGAGAATAAGGAAAAACAGGCTGACTGGTACTTGCCGAGGATAAATGCTGTGAGAAAGCATCTACCCGCCTTCTGAAGTGACTAGAGAAGAGAAAGAAGGGAGAGAAAAAGGCTGAGCGGGTGGCCCCAGTGGGCTAAATAGGTGAAAGGTACTGGAGAAGAAATTAGACAGACTAGTTGTTTACTCTGGGTGTGGAGAAGCACTGGTGACTGTACTGTCCGGTTGGGTCTCCGGTCCACTCCCTTGGAGAAAGAATTGTCTTGACAAAGAATTGGGAGCGTGTGGAGTAAAGAGTAAGTGAAATAAATAAGAACAGAGATAAGGAAACAGAATGCAACCAAAAGAAACAACACGTGGTGGGAACAGGATTTGGGGACAGTTGGGAAGAGAAGATGAGAAGCCTTTAAAAAGCAGACACAGTATTAAGTTGTTGTATCTGGGTTTGTTTGGTTGTGTGTTTTGGGGTGGGTTTTTTTTTGGATGCCAGTTCCTGGTGTGTGGAGCATTGCTTGAGTACTAAGTACTTTAAATGAAAAGTGAAAGTAACGTAATTAAATCAGGATTTTTTTTTTTTTAATATGGACTGATTTCCTATGAAGTAAATTTAGAGTTGAGGAAACAATGAGCAAAACTGGTAACTACTATAAAATAAATAAATATATGAACGACTTCTTTGGAATTACTTAGTGAAAAGTGATCTGGGAAATATAGGGAGCTAAAGATTTTTTTTTTTTTTTCTTAAATGTAAGGGAGAGGAAAGAGTCTACTAAGATGAAAGCATGAGAAAATTTGACTACAATGAGAATAATGGAATTTGAAAACTGAAATAAGTGGTGTTTAGATTAGATGGTTGAATGTGGATGCAGTCTTTATTTGTTTTCCTTCCCTCAATACAGCAGGGAAAATGAAGTGCTTCTGTGATTAAATGACGTTGCATCAGGGTAAGCCATTAGAATCCATTAGCTTGTTTGTATAAAGGCTCAGTCCTTTGCTTCTAAATCCAGTTGGGAGGAGGAAATATAGGCCTTTGGATAAGGAAGGTAAATGAGCTATAATTAATGCACAAATTATAATGTTTATCTTCTAGAGGATGGAGTCCCTTTTTTCTAAATAAAATACTTGCTGCCAGTCAGTTACTTGGACTGTATGCACTTACCCTTGGATCCCTTCTCCCCCTACCCAGTTTTATTTTGTTAAATAACAAATTTTGTTAAGTTTTTGGCTTGAGTGAGATGTAGCACTTGACAGGACTGGTGATAACAGAATTCCTGACAATCCTTTCTGCTTTTCAGTGTTGGAAGCACTGAAAGCCAAGCTTGCAAAGAGTTTCGGCTGGAGAATACAAGAAAGATGCAGACTACAATTTAGTAAAACTTCTGTGTTAGGTATGCAATTCAACAAGGATACACATGCAGGTAATTCTTAATTTTGGGCTTTGTGATGCAGTAATGAGCAATCTAGCTCTTACCTGGTGTGGCTGTTGTGCTGATCTAGCTTACAGTACGCGGTTTACTCCCTGAAATATGGCCTCCTTTCCGTTCCGGCTTGTTACACCTCATATGCATAAGATTTCCACTGCAGTTGCATTTGCCCGAGGGCACCAATCCAAATGAGTTCATGTCTACACTGAACTATTTCCTCCTCACATAATAATTGTGAAACCAACTTAGCAAGCAAATAAGGCTGGGAGAGCTGCTTAATGGATCCCTTTTACAGACAATAATGCACGAAGGTGGTCTGAAAGGAGGAATGTCAATCAGCATGAGCACAAAACATCACTCTTCAAATTCTCTTCAGCCTCTTCCTCAAACTTTTTAAAGCTGTTGCCCTGTTCCTTGCTGGATGAAGATGAGAACAGGAGTGAGAGTGAGAACTTAGTAAAGCAAGCACAGTTCTGGAAGCCAAGTCATGGCCAACAAGCCCCATGCTATGCAGAGAGAGACATCTGCTAGTGGTTTTCCCAAGAAGGAAAGTCGAATAAAGACAGGGTTGGAAAGAGCCAGTCTTGATCTTAACCTCACAAGAGCATTTTGATGTCTTGTTTTCCAATAGCTCCACACCATATTACAAACTGTATGCTGAGAGATCTAAGGAAATTTTCTAAATGTCAGGGGTGATGAAATACTCTGTAGGTCAGTTTTTCTTTTCTTTTGTTGTGCTCAGACCAGGTCTTTGGTTGCTAATCACAGTTTATAATATTTGTATTGGCCCAGCCTGCTCAAAGTAGTGTTTAAACAACTCTGGCTAGACTCTGCCGAGGGATGGCTGAACAGCACCTCATGGAGTTTGCACGCCAGCTGTTTCAAAAGATTTACAGTCTCTTTTTATTTGTCAATGCAAACATTTGTACCCTGTCTAACATCTGACTGAACAAGGTGAGTTGGACCTACGCTGGTATTCATGTGTCAGCCTTCGCTTCAAGGTCTGTTAACATTTATGTAAGTATGGAACAAACCTGTGTGATCTCAAATGTTGCTCTGTTTTCCATATTTGTGTGCTGTTGCAGTTACCTCTCTTTTTTTTTTTTTTTTTAATTGCCCTCCAGTCTAAGGACTTCAGACCACAAGTTACATGCTTATAACTCAGCACCCTTCCCTGCTGCAGGGGCTGGGGCCCTTGGCAGCGTGCAGCATCTTTGCTCTCTGAAGAACTGTGGAGGGAGGCCTCAAAACTTGCCCATGTCAGATTATAGCCCAAATTTTCTGTTCAGGTCAGCAGTAGCATGTCTAGTATGTGTTATGATAGCAGAGGCCTGACAAGTGTTACTCAGTTCTGACCTTAGGTGTATCGGGATGTCAGTTTTGTGATGGCACAAAGGGAGTTCATTCAGCCCTGAAGGACAACGAAGAGATGGGATCTCTGCTTTTGGGATCTTTCCTGTTGCTGTTGGTTGAGTTCTGTAAAGTTACTGATCTTAGGTCAGGCCCTTCTCTCCGTCTTACACTGCTCTCTTCTGAGAGGGGGATTCATACTGAATTTCTTGTCAAAGATTTATTAAGACAGAAATTTGCACAATCTCCAATTTTATAGGGAGAAAATTCCCCATCAGTCCTCTAATGTCTAGGCTCCTTGACTTACCTCTGCTTGACCT